CCGTTGACACTCACTGCAAGGTATAGATACTATCGACTTGGAAACGAACGTCGATGCGTCCATTGTTCTTCCTTGAACACACTAGACATCTAAACAAACCCAAGAGCTCGTAGTAGCAAGTTACCCAGCGTTCCATCAGCTCCAACTTTCGATGGTTCTCCCGAACTGATATTATCCAATGTCAAGTCTTCCGGAGCCAACCACCCAGCAGATAAGAAATATGGATGTTGTTGTGCATCCTTTGCCTTCAATCTCCACTTAGGTGGATAGCGAAGCAATTTCCGGACTAAGTCTAGCAAAGCGTTGGCATCATCGGGAGCTGCTGTTGGCAGGTTTGGCAAAAGTTGTTCATCCAATGGCACCCCATCTACTTTAGTAAATTCAACCTTTTGAGCATCAGGCAGAGATTTAAAGCCCGGCCATGCCCAACTCTTCGCTTCCTCTTCCTCGTTCGCAGGTTCTCTGGGTGTGCCAAAGATCTTAAATATACTCCAAGCCAAGCCAATCTCACCACGAGAGGCATCGAATAGAGAGGAACGACTGTAGCAGGCGGAAGGATTCCAAGTTGAAGAATTGGAGTCGGATGCGAAGGGGGAAGTGACGTAGGAGGGATAGGTGAAATCGTCGGATGATGGCGACGAAGGGGTGAGCGATGTGAAGAACTCAACGAACATCGCGCCGAGACTCCACATGTCTATAGCATACGCATCGTACGAGCGTGTTCCAAATAGAAGCTCTGGTGCGCGGTAAGGGCTGAGATTTCCGTTCAGGTTTGAGATATACAGATAGAGACTCAACGGACCCAGTAGAGACCTCAAAATACATGCTGTCTTCGTCCTCAGGCCACAGATCATCATTCTTGTCATCTCTGGACCCATCCCAAACTATTCCAAAGTCAATCAGTGTGACGCGTCCGGTGGGCGTCAGTAACACATTCGCAGGCTTGAGATCGCGATGGGCGATACGTTGTTCGTGTAAATAGGCCACAGCATTGATGATTTGCATCATAAGAGAGCGCGTCAGGATAAGAAAGTTCGAAAGAGGGTCTTTGACAGGGAAAACCAAAGTAGCTTTGGGTTGCGGTACGAAATGCGCAGAATCCAAGAGGGTAGACAGCGAATGAGGTATGAAAGGCATCCAAATACTCATAGTATTCTGGGCCCTGTCCAGTAGAGAATCGATGACTGAGATGACCTTGAATTCGATATGTCAATTACGGTTCGAGAAGAGTTGAACTATTCGTACGTTAGGATGAGAAAGAGATTTGAGGACTCTGCACTCCTTCATGATATCGTGTGGCTCTTTTGCCCATTTCTTGATTGTTGTAGACGTCTTGACCGCAAGCAGCCGAGGCTCACGGTTGTCTACAGATGCCCAGGTCTTTGATACAGTCGAAGCAAGGCCCTCTGCGATTATTTCAAAGGCGTCGCCGGTCTCTTCGCTGTCTTCTGAATTGACCAAGTGGAGATCATCGAGGGTCTGTGGGAGCATTTAGGGTGAAAAAGATGTTGAACAGTTAAGAACACTTGCATCCGTCAAGGACATGAAAAAAATGAAGATGATGGTAAGAAAACATGTTGTAGCGTAATCAAAAAGTTGATCACCATCTGTTTTGTTTCTTCTATTTCCACCTCTTTTGATCATTGTCTTCTACGTTCATCCCGGCTGTTACGACCACATCATGTCCGAAGACGAAGGGGCCAACAATAGTACGTATGTCACCTTTCGTTATTTCAGATTATTTCAAGGTTTAATTCTCTTCCAAGATCAGCGGTTATTGGCCGCAGCTAGAGAAGATAATGAGGAATTGCTGCTCGAAGTGTTCGAAGCCGGAGGTTTCGATATAAACTTTCAGGATGGGTCTGTACGTTTTTCATTCTAACCTCGAGCCGTTCTGATTACAACGTAGAGTGGGCAATACAGGTATGAAAGTCTTTGTTCTACCTAGCAGCCGTAACCAACTGGCGTTATTGGGATCAACCAGCTTTACATATCGCGTGAATATCTTCCATTTCATGTCGCACATTCCTCGTCCTGACATTCTCTCAGCGTACAGAATGGCTCGGCAGACGTCTTAGAACATATACTCTCCCATGAAGACTGTGATGTCGATCCTATCAATCGAATCAATCGAGCGACACCCCTTCATCTGGCGTGTCAACTGGAAGATGACGGTATGCGCTCGTATATGGTCGAGTCGCTGTTAGATGCCGGCGCGGACACCACGATACGCGACAAGAATGGAGAGTTGGCAGAGACCTTCGTTCCGCCAACTGATGTGGAGACCAAAGCATTGTTTAGAAAGGCACGAGCGCAGGTTCTTACGGTGTCACAGGATGATATAGCTAGTGGAAGTGGTAAGCAATCCATTCTCGTACTCGAACGGGGTATTCACTCAAATCGTTCGGTAGATGATGAAGGAGACATCGCAAGCTCGGGTTCAGCATCCGATTGATATAGATATCAGATAATATGGGCGATTAACTTTGTGCTCTCTCGGTCCACGAATGTATCGTAAGTAATGCTCCAATTTTAATGGATTACTTGACAAGACGGTCTGGACGGGGATATCGATGAACGCGTAATTCATGGCCCATTCCGCAAGAGAAAACTGCCGATACGGCTATCCATCGATGCTACAGCCTCTAGGAACTTGCAAGGAACCTCCTTACTGTGCCTCTTCCAATCTTTTCGTATTCTTTTTTTTCTTTTGAACAGGACACTCGAAATGTTCACGCGTCATTCAAGTCACCCCGATTCCGCGACAATGGCGACTCGGAGAGCTTTCAAGGTATTGTTTAACCGGTTTCGAACTTCAGCTTCTTCTAGTCGACTGAAAGACTGTACCAGGCTTGTCCAAACGATCATATTCTCTGTACACAACGTATTCTATCCATGTCCACGTCCATGTCATATGGCCATCTTCTGGAAGGCGTTGACTGTATGAAGAGGCTCGTCTTCACATTGGTCGAGGTGGCAATGTTATTCCAACTTACTTCCTTGGTGATTGACAGAGTCAATAGCAGAACAGTGTCCAATGAGAAACTTTGACGGAACGCATGCTGTACCAGGCTGTACCGTCAATATGAACACGAATCCGTGGATACCGAGAGGCTCAAACTCTGCGACTAGGCTCTTCGCTATGTCGTAAACACTCCTCGTCTCTTGAGCGCCACTCAATTATTAGTTCACCCTCGATCAACGTCCAATCCGAGGCGTTGGAGGTTGCATATAATCTGCACACATACCAAGTTCATGCAACCAAAAAAGAAAAACTAAAGTTACTGCAGTGATTCGAAGCCGACTCCGCTGTTTTCAAGGCCGAACGCAGAGTACATATACTCTATGCCTCTTTATCGCCACGGTCAGTCTTGCCCATTGTTCAAGCTTCCTACTTGATGCTCGTCCAAGTCGAGATCTGTACGCACTTGACGTGATTGATCTTCTGATATGTTTACCCCTCGCCCCCAATCACAGCCGATCCCATCACACCTTGAAGAAAAGAAATCCCCGAACATTTCAAAGAGAGAGATGTGGCAAGGAACACAGGGGTCGGTCGTATATGCTTGCTTCGAATCCAATTCTAATCCTGTCCATTATACGATGAGCTAACGTCTGTTCTGGCCTGTCGGACTCGAACTGGGAACTGTGTCAACATGAAATGTAATGGCAGGGAGTCAAGGTACCTTACATCGAAAAGTCGAATATTCGGTGGTACGAGCGGATATTAGGTATCAGTCCTTGGGGCCTGCATGGCCTTCTCGTATAAAGGGCGAAGGTTTTCACTGCAGCATCCCAGCTCAGAGTCCTCACTTCTCTTCAGCTAACTCACAAACACCATGCGCTTCTTTGCATTGCTTGCTACTGCTGTCCTCAGTGTCGTTGTCCGTGCAGACTCTGACACTGCTGCTAGTGCTGCCTCCGCTGCAGCCAGCGCTCCTTCGTCCTCTGCGGCCGCCCTTTCCGCCTCGTCTTTCGCGAATGCCACTCTTCAAGAAAACTTGAGCAACAGCTTGAGTCAAGCCAACTTCTACGTGCGTCTCTCCTGCAAGCTGTCCTGTGCATACTATTTTGACGATCTCCCTACCATATAGGGTGCTCCGATCCCTCCTTGGGAAGTCGGGTGCCACCCAGGGTGGTACTACGGCAATGACCCGGGAGCCGTCGTTGGTTGGACTATTCCTTGGCTTTTGGACGCTGTATAACCCACTTTCTTGTTTTGACTGCTGTCATTGACTGAATATCCTTTCAGCTCATCTGTGACATCCTTGATCTTCTCCCTTTCTGCCTTCACTGCCCGGTCCCCAAGCCTCCCCCGAAGAACGGATGGGTTCAAACTTTCAGTAATCTCAATGGCGCCACTCAAGCTTCTGACTATTTGACCTACGGACTCGTCGATACCATCGAAGGTCGGTGTTTTCGTAAATATTGCCACTGTATGCCCTCAAGCTCATATTTTCTTCGACAGACTGTCAGACCATGTGTCTCGGCGTCTCAGGCTGTGCCTTCATCAATAGTGAGTGTTATTCGTCCTATCGAATGATGTGTGGTCCATCAACTGTCTGTAGCCTATCATGATGTCAATGGCAAGGTTTGTGTCCCTTACTGTCATCAAGTATCATATCTGAAGACTAACACACCACTAACTCAGAACGGGTCTCCTCTGCTCACTTGTGCCTTGTTCAAGGATTGTCACGATGCGTCCGATGCCGACAACAAAGGTGGACAGACACAGCCCGATGGAAGCGTCGACTACATCACAGACAGCAATGGCTTTTGTCTGCAATCTTAATCCATCGAGTTCAAAAAGAGTGTTTACCAGTTCTACTATGTAGTTACAAAGTCGCACGATTCACGAATGACACGAAAGCTACATATTCATGTTCTAGTCCTGGCTTCTTGGCTGTTGCTCTGGCTCTTCATTACAATTGGGAACTATGTACATACTTGGTGGTACTAACTTCGATGGGAACATCATATTGACCGCATAAAAAAGACAGTGCTCCCTGCAAGGCTCGAACTTGCGACCTCGAGATTGTAAGACGAGAACGCCTCTCAAGAAATATGAGACTCGCGCTCTACCGACTGAGCTAAGGAAGCACAAACTTCACCGCCCCTAGTCCCATTTCGTTCTCCGGGGACCGGAACGAGGGAATTTGAAGTACTCAACTGCAAAGGCAAGAAGTTATGATAAGTATGTACAGTATACAAGTAGAGATACAGCTCGTAGCGTATATATAATGTCTGTTGTTCAATCACAGAACTGTGAACACCCCTAGGTAGACTTTGAAGGACTGCCATCATGGGAGTTTGCAGGTCGTGCAACGAGAGCATGGTTGTCAATCGAAATGCTCTGCGTGACGTTGGCCGTCTTGTATATTCCAATGAGGCGATGACTGAGTTCGAACATGTCATTTCTAGAAATGTTCAGTTATTAGTATTCTCTGGCAGTTCGAGGACATAACCTACCGAAGAGAGATTATAATGAATTGAGCATTCTTCGTCCGATCTTTAATATAGTTCGCGATGATGGACACGTTTCTGAAGTCCAAAGCGGCATCGATCTCGTCCATGAAGTAAAGAGGCGTAGGCTAGTCGAATATAGTCGGAACCTGGCTTCGCGAAGGGGAACAGATACTCACCTTGAAGACATGTAAGGCAAAGACTAGTGCAAGAGAGCTTAAAGTCTAACGGTGGCACTGTCTCAGTAAAGCTTATCTCATCTTGAGTCTAGGACCTGACCTTTTCTCCGCCTGAAAGATTGGAGATATTCTTCCAACTCTTCTTCGGCGGCATGACACTGAAGATAATTCCTTCGGCAAAAGGATCCATACTGTCGACCAACTCGAGCTCTGCATTCCCGCCTTGCGTTATCATCTAGAAGCCAATATTCACATTAGTCCTAATACCTGCGAAATGAGTACAGCTAACTCACCTGATACATTTCCTTCAATTTTGATGAAATAACATTGAAGCCACTCATGAATTCTTCCAGACGCTGTTTGCGAAGATCCTCATACTTCTTCTTTTGAGCATCGCGTAAAGCAACAACTTTTTCAAGATCATCGTGTCGACTGAGGAACTCTGCTTCTCGACGCCTGTACTCTTGGAGCACATTCAAGTTGGGTTGTTTCGCTCGTTTGAGTTGATCTGGAGATAGGGATGAGTTCTGATGAAGATGAGAGCCACAACATTACACGCCTTCCAAAGCCTGCACATCGACCTTCATATCTCGTTCCCTGAATTTTTGAAGTTCCGAGGTCTTGTACTCGTGAAGTTTGTTCCAATTGTCGTCTTCCTTAGGAGGTCCAGCTTTATCGACGCCTTCCCTTTCGCTCTTCTGGGCTTTACTTTCACCTTGATCTTCACCTGCCACTTCCTCGTCTTCTTCCTCACCTCCTTCATCTTCTTCGTTGCTATACAGAGACGTAAGCATCAACGAGAGTCAAAAAAGGAGGAACGCACTCGATATCCTCCAGCTTCAAGGCATCATGTAACTGTCGGAAATGTTCCACTTGAGCGGCGAAGCGATCAGCATCCTTTTGATAATTATCGATTGCCTTCTGAAGTTTGATCTACGACCGAACGTCAGACAGTAAACAACAAGCTCTGGCGTCGGAAACCAACCTCCGTCTGCCGAAACGCTTCTACCGCCTCAGTCTTTTCATCAAGCTGAGCCTTACGTTCGGCCAATGCTTCTCGCTTGCTTTCTTCAGCTGCCTCAGCTGCTTCTACTTTTGCCTTCACATCTTGCACGAAACCTCGTAACTCTTCCAGCTGGCCATCGAGCTCCGCCAGCTCTTTTTCCATGTCTGTCAGCGCAGCGGTATCGTTCTCTAGAGTGTCCTGATATTTCTCGACATCCTTTTCTGCTTTGGTTTTGGTAACTTCAGCATTGGTGATGAGGTCGTTCGTGAGGTCGATGTGATTCTTGAGGCCTTCGACTTTGGATTTTTGGGCCATGAGTTTCGATCCTCCGATTTTCATGATCTTGTCCTCGACCTCTTGAAGGGCCATCTCGATTGTACTGGCCTGTCCCTTCAAGTCTTCGATTTCGACCTCGTATCGAGCGATGTTATCTTCAAGAACTTTGATTCGAGCGACGTCATTTTTGTCCGGCTTTGACTGTGCCCTGTAACGAGTGTTATCTGTGACCATGTCGAAGAGCAAATCAGAGAACTACTTTGTATTCCTCAAACGTTTCTCTGCTTCCTCGATGCGAGACTTTCCTTGCTGGATATCAAGACCTAGTTTTTCATATCGAAGGTCGATCTCTGGACCAGAACGGTTGAGTGACTCCAATTCTGCTTCTGCACTCCGGACAGCGGCGGTCGCTTCTTCAAGTTTTGCCTGAGCCTGCTCCCGTTCGCGCTCAAGTTCCTGCAACTGCCGAGGGCTGATGGAATCTTTCGCGAGCTTTGCGCTCATTCCACCCTTCGCCGGGGCCCCTCCACCTCCAGTCATGGCTCCGGATGTCTCGATGACTTGACCGGCGAGTGTGACAACCTTGGCTCGCTTCTCGCCGAAAGCTATACGATTAGCCTGATCCATGTCTTTTGCAACCAGGGTATCACCGACAGCTTTGTAGAAGACCTCTGCGAACTTTGGGTCTTTAGGTGTGATTAGGTCGAATAGTCTTGGAACATTTTCTGGTGTTTTTGGAGGAGAGAGTACTGCTTGGCTGTAGCTGATTTTTTCGAGGACCAGGAAAGTTGCACGACCGATGTTGTTTGAGCGCAGGTATTCGAGACAGGCTTGTCCTTGCGCCACAGTATCAACGACCATGTTGTTCAGGCTTCCGCAAGCAGTGGTGATCGCGACATCATATTTCTCTGGTATCGTTCCTAGGCTCCCCAAACGACCCTAAGCGAACGGTCAGTCTAAACCTTGTCAAGCAGAAGGGAACATACATGGAAGCCAGTGATTCGTCCGCTCTCCTGCATACGGGTGAGGCTGTCCAGGACTTTGCCTTGAGATCGGGTTTCGGCTTGAGATGATTTCGCCTCTAGCACTCGTTGGTGGGATGACGAGGCTTTGGCGCGCCAAGTTTGTTCCGATTCTTGTGCTTCCTTCAATCGTGAAGACCGAATTTAGATTCAATGGGAACAGGGTATATGATAGTTCACGCACAGTCAGTTTTTGGACGATGGCATCTCTCTTGTGTTTGAGCTCCGCCTTTTCACTTCTCGCATCTGCGAGCTGCTTCACCTTGTCCTCTTGCTCAGACTTTACCTTCTCCAAGTGTTCCTCGGCCTCTTGCAAAGCAGTCTGGATAGATTCGACCTTCTTGACCAAAGCGTCACGTTCACCGCGCGCAACGTCGATTTCGGTCTGCTTCGTATTGATCTTCGCAGTCCAAGGTTGCAAATCCTTCTGTAGTGCCTCTTTCTGATCGTAGAATTTCTGAGTTTTATCTAGAAACGATCAGTGTCGATTTTGCGCAAGGTATACTGGTCATGAATACCTCGAAGGCTGTCCTGAATCTCCTCCAGCACTTTCTCCTCTTTGACCAAAGACTCTTCGTAGGTTTGAAGATTCTTCTTCTCCTTCTCGAGTTTTTCTTCGCTGTCTTCGATCATGTGGTGCGCAGATTTGAGAGAGGCTTGAGCCTTCGATGAACGATGAGTATGGGTAAGTTGAACCGACAATGATATCGACTTACATCGTTCACACTTTTCTTGAGTTTCTTGGCCTTTCCCGCCGCATGTTTCCTCTTCTCCGACAACCCAATCTCCTGTTTCTCGTGTTCGGCTAGAGACTGCACCGCTTCCGCTACGAGTTTTTGAACTTCCTGGGGGGAATAATGAGAGAATGGCAGATGGTGTTCAATAGAAAACCTACCTTGTAGCCTTTTTCAAATGCTTTATAGTCAGCCTGAAGGGCCTGCAGATGTTCTATGTCGTCCTTATTCTTCGCTTTCTCTTCCTCCAGCTTCTGCTCAGCTTCATCCTACACAAGAAGTGTCAGGTCAAGTCTCGTCAAAAAAACAAAAGCGAGAGTACCATTTGATCGCGAATCCTGTTCTCGCTATTGAGCGTCTGCCAGATGTACCACTGATAGAGCTTAGAATGTGCTCGCACTAGCTCGTTCTGCAGCTTCAGATAGTCTTCAGCCTCTTTCTTCTTGTCTTCCAGCGCGTTCTTCTCCTTTTCGACGAGACGCAATCGGTTCAGCTTTTCTTGACGGCTTTCCTGAAGATTCTCCAAGTCCACAAAAGCAGTCTCGATGGGCTCTTTGTACTTGGAGGTGCCAATGATATCCTCCAAGTACTCGAGGAGCCCTTCGTCGTGCTCTCCGCCTTTGGGTTTCATTTGAGCGATAGACTCGACTTCTCCCTAGAAACGGTGGCATTCGCATGTGCTCGACAAGTTAGTAACGAAGAGTACGAACCTGTAAAATCAAGAATCGTTTGTGGTCGAGATCGATTCCTCGTCCCTTCAGAAGGCTTTGAACTTCCTTGTAGGAGCTGCTACGTCCGTTGATCGTGTACGTGCTGGTATTGTCTTTGTACGCGTGACGTCCAACTACGAGATTCGAACCAGGTACAATTTCGAAAGCATCGGCACCAGGCTGCATCGTCGTTAGCCTTCTTATTCTGATCATCATTTGCTGGAACTTACCAAGTCAATGATTTCCCGAAAATGAACCTCGACAGAGCACTGCCCGAGATCTGGGTAGCGAGCGGAGTTGTGAATCAGCTCTGATAATTTGCCCTGACGCATCTTTGAGGCTCGATATCCAAAGACGAAAAGAAGGGCGTCTATGGTGTTGGATTTTCCGGATCCATTCGCTCCGACGATGGAAGAAAAAGACTACGAGTCGATTAGAGAGCACGAAGGGTTCAACAATCAGACAATGCCTACCTTGTGAAAAGGGCCAATCTCCTGTCTACCAGCATAACTCTTGAAGTTGACAAGCGCGAGCTTGTGTATGACGAGTCGCGATTGGGGACCCTTGGGCTCTTCAGGAGCGGGCTGAGTTGCAGGTTGAGACTGAGGCAAAGACGGTGGATGATCCATCAGAAGCGACTTTTCTTCTTCCTCCTCTTCCTCCTCTTCGTCCTCCACATCCTCCTTTGGCGCATTCTTCTCTTCGTCCTC